GGTTCAACTCATAGGAAATTGATTCACACAACAATGATTGAAATAAGGTGTTGGTGGAATAAAGCATTGGTGAATATCTGTACATTCTGCAGAATGATACCATTAATGGCCACTAATTACAAAGTACACATTCTAATCTTTTTTGTGCTCCCATACATTAGTGTAAGTAGCTTTTATTTGAATCTGCTAGAATGTAATGTCCACCATAACTATGCTAAGAAGGGATTTGAATGAGTAGTGGTCTTCATGCTCACCAGACTTAAATCCTACCGAGCATACACACGATTCTCTTGGGAGACAAATTGCACCTCATCAAGTGATTCCAGATACTAAATATGCCCTGAACACAGCTCTCTCATACTACCATTGCTCTTTATGTTGACAGTTTTTCCTGCTGCAGTGAGCTGAAAAAATGTAAAGCCATCGTCGCAAATAAATATTCATTTATGAGCATAGACTGAATGACCAATCATTTGCATTTCAAATCAAACAGCAGCTTATCAGATGCTTGATATACATAAAAATGAGCTGATAGATTAATACTATTCTCTAATAGTGGTTTTGCCTTTGCATAGATAAATTATTATAGATTTCAATTACCCTTCAACTGTTCTGACCACTGTAGATATAAAATATTAAAAATGTTGGAAAATTATTTTTCAAGTTTCTATTCTCCTAAAAAATTGAATATTATTATTTTTTGCTCATTTGGTATTTGTTGTTTCATGTATTTATAAAAACTAAGCTCAAAAATTACAAAAGCAAGTGTACTTCACATATAACAAAAAAAGAAGAAAAAAAAAGTCTAACCCCAAATGAACCAAAGTGTAAAAAATCAAACCTTTTTCAACATTTTGCTTGGTGAAAGTAATTCCTGCAGACAAGGAATATAGAATGAAGAGTTTGGCTTTTTAATTCCTGAAGTTGACAAGTGCCACAGGTAATCCTAGGGGAAAAAATTATAAACACGCACATATGTATACCTGCACATATATATATATATATATAATAAAATTACAAGTATATAAAAAATATGCATAGTAACTATAACTAAATGGAACAGTACATAAGTTTATAAAAAAAAAAGTAAATAAAACTAGATTATGATGTTTCCCCCAAGTTCAGCATTTTTTTAAAGAGGATATGTTAGTAAAAAATGTCCAAGAAAAATTAATTAACTACAAATATACCACAGACATTATGTAAATAATGTATTCATAATTTTTTAACTGCTGGAGCTTGTCAACAAGTCTTTGTGGTACTTGAATAGGAAACACCTAATCAATACACTCACAGGCAGATTATAATTTTAAATACATTTGTAAAAACCATCACTATTTTCTTAACCAAATACTATAAACTTACATTTTTCAATATATATATATTCTTTTTTGACAGATATACTGATTAACTGAGATTAACAGAGAGTAGTCTTGATGAGTATACAAATGCATATTGGAGCTTAGTAGCCTTAAAACTGATTGACTTTAGTAACAGTTTTATTGAAAACAGCCATTTAAAACAGATTCTTTTTATCAAGAATGTTTCGTTTCAAAGAATATAGTTCTGAAAGATTGGTGATCATGTATCATTTACAAATTGACTTGTTCTTGCTATATGTATATATAAATATATATTGAACACAACAGCACATGCTTATCCACTAGCAAAATGAAAATGTATCTGTTTGACAAGGAAGTACACCTAAACAAAAATATACATTGACTACAGCATCATATGCTTATCCATTAGAATTAAACGTATATCAATTTGACCAGAAAATTCATCTGGTATAGCTAACTCTGTCTCATCTGATGGTAATGTTTATTTCTGTAACCTTAACATCATGAGCAGAGTACAAGTATATTAAAAGATCTGTGAAAATTCTTTTAATGTTAATATGAAGCAAACCTCAAGATAGCTCCACCTGTCTTATAATCATATCCTTGATTAGTAACCTTGGTGTATTTTTATTATCAACAGAATATACAGTAATGATAAGTTAACACTGCTGCAAAGCAGTACATTTTCTTTGTATCACTGTATGCTAATGTTCTTCATAAACATCTCTATATACTGAAATTAAACATAAATTTAAATCAAAATTTAAAAAACTCTCTTGATAACTGATCAAGGGATCTTTTGCAGATTATATTTTAGGACACCAAGTCAATAATTGCAGCTTACAAGACACAGATACCTGATGATCCATTTTATGCCTCAAGATTCTACTAAAAATAATTATATATACCTCAGTATAACAAAAACACAACAAAAATGTTTTTTGATGCTTTTAAATAATTTATTATATTTTAACAATTCCCAGAGGTATAATAATGTAAGACACATGAATCAATAATACGATATCCTATAACACGAGCACTTTGGAAAGGTCCAGCTTTCAAAATAATTTCTGTTAAAGGGTGTAGTATTTTTGCATTAAATTGCTTTCTTGACCCTACATGTTTTTTAACATCATGAGTGGGTCAATAATGATATGTTTGTTTCTTCTGAATAATTGCACAAAACTACACAAGATCGACTCTGCTGGCCATCCCTAATTTTGAACTGATAAGCTAGAAAAAAAAAGGCAATTAGTCAACAGCATCCACTGCCAGCTCTTAAGATACTCTAGTCGAATAGTGGAATTTGACCATAGCTCTTATAATGCACCTAGAGCCCCAAAGTGGCAATAGTACACAAACCATGGAGCCTCAGATCCACAGTCCAGTATGCTGCCCACTAGCCCACACCCAGCCCTTAAGTTCAAAAATTATCCTTGATGTTCTTGGATATAACCCAAATATAAGAAGTATTAAAAGTGATATAAAAATTATAAATAAATAAATTTTTATTTTAAAATAGAATCCTCATGTTTTTAAAGTTACACATGGTACCAAATATAGTACCAGATTGGTAAGGTGACAATCGACCAAGGTTTTAATGCTGAACATATTGTGCCTCTTGAGGCCCTCACAAAATCAAGTCTGTAGTTCTCTCAATTTAAAGTATGGCCACCCTTGTAATATATCACAACAGTAAATGAAAAGATATATCTTTATCAGTTTATCACTCCAAAATACTTAAAACAGTGGGGAAGCTCTTCAAAAGTTATTTTACAGTAATTAAGCAAAAACTGCATAGGATAAACTTAAACTTTCTCATACACATGCATGAACTTCATAGCAATTCTCACAACACGAAACTAATACCTATGAGATATTTAGTCAAATGTATATAAGAATAAGCAGCACTGATTATTCTGGCCATGCTATAAATTTATACCTTATAGCTTACATAGCTTTGATATTCACTAAGCTTTAAATGGGCACTTCACTGTTGTAAAGTAAAAAAAATATTATGTGGGGGTTATTTCTCCACTTATTTCACAACAAATATCATCACTTGGAAAAAATCAGAGGTAGCTCTTTCCAGCTGATTTATTGCATGTTTTTACAAGGGCAAAATAAAGACATCAAGTTTTGAAAAATCCTGCCTGAATTCTCTTGTAAAATTACCAATAAAATATAATCAAAACAGGAATGTTGGGATTTCAAATCTTCTTTTGTTCTTTTTGTTACGAACATGTGTTTTGGATATAGTAATAAAATATTAAAAAAAAGTCTACCCCCCCCCCCCCAAAGTTAACATTACTGTTGGGATGGTCAAAATCATTAAATGTTTTCCCTGTACAGACACAGCTTGTCCTTATGTGAAAGCCAGAAATGTGTAAACTTTGTGCAAGCTTGATGCTTATTTTTGGCTCAAATAGTTTGAAAAAAGTGAATTTTATATGTTGATGATGTCAAAAACTGTAAAATTCAACTTTTTCAAATTTGTTTAATAGTTTACAAGTTTCTTCTTGTAATATGTTGCCACATTACTGATTAGCTTTTTTTAATCTACACGACAAAAGCATCCAGCAAATAAAAAAATCAAATATACTTCAATGCAAGTTGTAAAAAAAAAACTGTATAAAGATAACTAATTATAGAGTAATACAATTTTTAAATTTAACTATTAAAAGCTTATTCAAGCTTTGTTTAAACTTTCTTGTGTTAAACATGGGTTAAAAAAACAGCATTACTTAAACTCCAAACTTTTAGTTTCTTAACTATAAATTACTTATGGTATATATATGTTTAATTTACACATACCTCTTCTTTTTTTCTGGATATAGTAGCAGTTGCAGAGGCATTCCTACTCTTACCCCATAGGATATTCAACACATGCATACTTTCCTCACTATGACTCTCCTGAAATGTATAGTTTATATTCAAAATATAAGTGTATCATACAGTAATACAAAGTGTCATTCCTGTTAAAAATAAAAATGTTTCATGCACAATCGATTATATACAGAATTAAAAAACTGTACAAATGAATATTGCTAACAATGCAAAGATTTACTTAGATGAGTTTCCTTCAGAAAGCACCCAAAGGAAACCCATGGAATATGACAGTGATGGCAGGGAGTCTATAAGAGCACACCCATGGAAGAAGCAAACAAGTCCCATGTGTCATAAAGATGGGTGGAATAAAAATTGAGCCATTCAAGTACTTGCACTCAAGAGGTCGGATAGCCAATATGTGTAACTGATTAGGGTATGTTCAGACCGACCATACCCTGTGCTCAACTCAATTCTACCAGACCGACACATCCTGTGGGAGGAGGACACAGAATTCATACTATAGAATGTGGAATGGTGTGTGTGAACGCCTCAACTAAACTAAACAGACATCAGCTACAGAAGGAGGGCACACTTTGTTAGTGCATGCTCACCTCAACTGAACTGAATAGGAGATGACTGCAGGAGGAGGGCACTTATGTATAGAGTGTGCTCACCTCAACTCTACTGGACAATAGCAGGCTGCAGGAAGAGGGCACAGTATTATATGATGTGTTTGCCTCAACTCTCTACTGTGCAGACTCAGGTTGCAAAAGGAGGGCACAAGTGGCACATTAAAAGTATAGTTATATGAGAGGTGACCTGCACTACACTGAAAGTGTCATCACCACCCCACTTTACACTAATTGGCACCCCCTGTTCTAGTTCCAGCAGTTAAGTCCCAATCAGTGAGGATTCTTCATGGTCCACCACCCCAGCAGGTAGGAATTGGTAACTGGTAAGAGTCTCCTGTGCTCCACTCAAAGAAAAAAGGGGGAGGAATTTGTGATGGGGAAACCTGGAGAAAATGCCCAGATACCTATCGGTCCTGTTTCAGCCAGAAAAGTCTTTTACTGGAGACAGTGCAATGGGTAACCATGACAAAGATATCTCAAGTAGTCTTGCAGAACACCTTATCTCAACTGTGGGCATATATGGAGACAGTATGGATGGTATGAGTGCTTTTCATTATCTTGGCTCAATGTAGAAGTTTTGGATATAAGTATACCCTGAGAGGCACAACCAGCCACCTGGCAGGATCCTATAATTGAATGCTGTAATAAGAAAAAGGAAACATACTCACCTGTCTAAAGATGTTGGGTAGATGGTAGGATGGTGAACAGAGGCAGGAAAAAAGACAACCAGATGGTGAATATAGTGGGTGATGAAGGTGTGAGACATAGTTCACACGCCAGCTAGAAAAATCTCATTCAGTGGCTGTCTAAAACAAGAGGTCAGGAATAAGTGAGGTGATGAATCTCTGATGGGATGAAATGCAGATCCATCTGCAAGCATCGGCCCCAATGAATAAGTAAGCCAAACAAAGAAAAATTGATGGACTCTACATGTAAGGGTAAAAGAAGATATGTTCCTGGAGAAAGAGGAATCCAAGGGAATGTAGAGTTGAAGACGAGATCCATAAAAGTGAGAAATACAAAATAAGTAACAACAAATGGCACCAACAGGGTACAAAAGTCTGTCCAGGTCCTATTGATCAGAGGGTCCTTCCTCTCTAAGTCTTCAGCCAGTCAGGAAGGTGACTGCTCCTTTTATTCTATCTCCCTTCCTTTTATTTCACACCTTGCCCCCCCCCCTCAGTTTCTCTCCACTTTGTTCCAGTCATTCCTATCTGTAGACCCACTTTCCCTGTTTCCATTCCGGACTGGGACCTCAGTGTCATCTTGCACACTCTTACCCATGCCCCTTTTGAGTCATAGGCAACCTGCAACTTGTACAACTTTTCTCTTAAGATATATTTTCTCTTACTTCTCACCTGTGGTTCCCTTGTTCAGATATCTGTGCTATCAAATTTTCTTTGTTCCTATATTCTTCTTTATCCTGACCCCTTGTGGTATCAAGAAAGGCAAAATGTTGTAGACAGGGCCATCTGATAGCAGGCAATGGTGGAGACAGCTGCTTCACTGTCAAACAGCCAAGTAAAAGGAAGAGAAATGACCAACAGGAGAACTGTCAGGAGGAAGGTAGCAACAGATGGACCAATATTGAAAGACACACCACTGACACAGATAGATGGATAAGGTATAAGGACAAAATTAATGGAAAAGGCTACCAGATTGGAAAGTCTAGTTTAATGGACAAAGGACTGGACAAATACTAAACATGAAGACGGAGGGACAAGATCCTATAATGGAACAGTAACGTGTGAGGTTGAAGCAGGAGAGAAAGTATAGTTGGCAGGAGAAAATGGAGTTGGGTTGTCAGGTGGCATAGAAGAGGGAATCCAGGATGAGCCAGCCAGTGGGGTACCTCCAAGAGAACACAACAAGAACTGTTTCAAATCAAGTCCAGGGCCTAAGGTAAATGAGAGTGAGGTGGGTAAGCATAATGAAAAGGATAAGACCAGTTCTGGCTGAAGACATCAATAGTTAGGGCGAAGTGGTGAAGAACAGGTGATCAGAAGAGAGGAAGCTTGGAAATGAAAAGGGTGGTAAGGCATCAATGACTGGAGTTGCAAGAAAGAGCACACTCAACAGAAACTTGGAGTTGAAGATACCATTCCATGGCAGAACACAGTTCAGCCAAAAGAAGCAGTCTGAAATCAGGTTCATAGCACCCAGTAAAAGGCAGGCGATGAGACAAACCCATTAAGAATTAGCTGAATAAAGAAGGTTCAGGGTTTCAAAGAAAGGATCGGGTTTCCCCTTGGCAGTTGATATGGGAAAAATCAAGAGTTGTAGAAATAGATCATAAATTAATCCACTACAAGGGGTAAGAAATGCCCAATGGACTACCAGAATTTAGAGTGCATTGATATGGAGAGAGGACTCATTCTAGGTCCATGTATCAGATGTGAAATTGTTGTCCAGAGATGCTCCCCAACCACAGGGGAAGACATCAGTGAAGAAGTGTAGGTCTGGTTTGGGTGGAGGTAATGGAACACCAATGATGATACTGGATTAATCCAGCCACCAATACAAATCCTCAAGTAGGGGTGAGAATAGGTGAGGTATTGAGGTCAAAGTTCTCCATGACAGGTTCCTCTGGTAATGCAAGGACCAATGGAAGAGGTGCCTATGTATGCAACACAAAAGGATAAGCAGTTCAAGTGAAGCCATGGTCTCCAAACACTAAATAACTCTCAAACAGTATAAGTAGGTTAGGCATGAATCCATATCTTACAGACAGATGGAAGAAAACTGAGCACAGCTGAGAAATAAGTTGAAGAACACTCCCAGGTGAATAAGATATTGAGTGAGGTAAAAATTTGAAAGTTGAGATGAATGCCATCTCCTTGAAATGTTGTACATAGATAGGATAAGAAGAAGGAAACATGATGACAGATGAGAGGAAGAGAACTGGAGTGAAAGTCTGTGGGTAAAACATAGAGTAACCCCTGTGTGGATGGAATAGTGTGACCAAAGGAGCTCAAATTTGTGACAGCCAGGCACCCACAGGACCCAATTCTACTTAACTGTCACTGACGAGCTTGATGAGTCTGATGCCAGGAAGAAGAGGAAAGTTGAGAAGTAGGAATCGAAAGATGGGAAACTGGGGAATAAGTAGAGGTACAATGGTGAAGAACTGGGTTTGGAAACAAAGTATGAAAGTGGGAATTGACTACGGGCAGCCTCAGCCTGTGATTCAATCAAAACTTCAAGGCAAAGAAAGGGGGCCAGGCGAATATCTCATAGAAAGGAAGAAATAAGTCAAAATTGGGATAAGAGACAATTCCTACCCAACAGTGTGAAACAAAAATGACACAATATTTCAAAAATAACTAGGGAAAGCAGTGATTAATAAAGAAAACTACTTGCTAAAAAGCATAGGTAAAAAAAAAGTTCCACATAAATAAACTGAAAAACCTTACCTAATAATACCTCTTTGCTCCATCAAATTTAAACATCATAATTAATTTTAATGTATTATTGAATTCACTAACATTATTGTGATAAAAAGTAAAATGCTAAGGTATACTCACATGAGTTTCTGTTAAAGTTGCTATATTTTTGGAAATTAACTTTAATCTTTCTTCTTCTGACTGAATTACGAGGGCAGAAACTTCACAATTTCTAAAGGAAAATCAAAATTACAGTTGACATCTTAATTACACTACATTTTAATAATTATGGATTAAAAACCATCACATGAATTCGTAAAAAAAACATTGTTTACATGGTTACACAATTAAATCCCTGGCTTAACTTTTTTCTAGACTAATGAAAAAAAATAGTTTTAACACAAAAATCTAACCTATCTCATTCTTCATGACTACGACACAATCACCTTTAACTTTATATTATTTACTGGCTTCTTTGAAACCTACAACAGCCCCCCACCTCCTTTTTAAAGCATTTTCCTAAATGTTTCCCTCCCTCTTTTTTGTTGTCAGCTTTGTGTTACTCATTTTGTTTATTTGTTCAGGACAATTAAGTAAACTGTTTACACCCTTTGTCTTTCTTTCCAATACTTTTGAGTTTGTTCTGTATTATTTTTTAACATCTTTCCAAAGGTACTTATGTTCATCCTGGCTGTTCTGTAGTCTCAAATGTAAACTGTTGAACTGAGAGAATTTTAGCTCGATGACTTTTATCTAAAAAACCATTAGCTTGTTTCATTAATATTTTTGTAAGTGATTCATGGTATTTTGGTGAAAATTTTAAAAGTTTACCTTACCTACTACAAGAAAGTAGTTTGTTAATCATTATTGTTATTGTGAATTATATGCTAAGGTTTTGTAGAAAAACAATATTTGAGCTGCATTTAGCTTTCTACATACAGTATGTGTATGTAAACAGATTAAGAATTTCCTTCAAAACAATGTTTAACTTATTATGTTACTCTTACTTGTACATACATACTTCCATCAATACTTTTTATCATTCAGTAAAGGGTCAGCATTAAATAAAATTCATAGCTTTTAAACCTTAACTGTAGTCCAAGTACATTGTTAAAAGTTTCATTATCTAGACACTGATCTCAGTCACTAAGACTTAAAAAAAATTAAATAGGTACTTTTTCTTTTTTATTCTTTAATTTTTGTATCAAATAATCAGTTAGTTATACAAGTTAGTCTTTCTTGAGAAGGATTACAAAAATATTTATTTTCATTACATGGCTCGTTCATCAGGCAATAGTCCAATGTCTTGCTGGATGACACATTATATTCAGAGCACTGAACACATGGTGTGTAAAGTTGTAACATAATTCAAAAGACAACCTATGACTGAGATTATTATACTTCCTAACTTGGTGGTTAAGTGAGACTTTCATACAACAAACCTTTAATAAAATTTATCATCATTTAAAATTTTCACCTCTTTGCTTTCTTGTTTCGACTTGGAATTTTGTCTGTTTGATGTCCTACATGTAGACGATTGATTCCAAAAACAGTACTTTCTTTTTTGGTTCCACAATCCCTTTCTTCTTGCTCTTGCAGTGACTTGGATATCGCTAAAGCCATTTGCAATTCTGCATCTGCTTCACTAAGGAACAAATGTCCAGATTTTTAAATTTGCTTAAATCTTTATTTCCACACATTATGGAAGTTTTAGGATATATAACAACATGTCACCAAGTACTCTACTTCAAGTATCAGGCAGCAACACTAATCTATAAAACAAAATTAAATGGTATCAAAAACAATCAATAATAAGATTGTCTTTATTTTAAGAAAAAAAAAAGGCTGCAGACACTAGGCTGTAAAACTTAACCTTTGATAGGCCCTGACATTTGCAAAAGTATAAGTGCTGAAAACAGCTCCTGTCAAACACTATACAGTGGTTGTTGGCAGGCTGATGCCATATCTATATTCTTTATTTACAAAATTGGGCAATATGAGTTAATTTGCTGAATAAGACTGAATTGTGCTGTTTTTACATTAAGTAGACCTGTGGTAATATTTCAAGGGAAAATATAAGACCTATTATATTAATCTGGTGAATAAACAAAGTAACAATCAACATTATTATATCCAATTTTTATATCCAGTAAAACTGGAAGAATTATAATGTTATAATATCCTTAATGTCTGACACATAACATCTTGACTAGAATCATATGATAAAGACTCTTTTGTAACTTACAAACAAAAATAAAATGGTATTTAATTTTTTTACTAGAAAATAAAACACAAGTTTCGCTATTTGTTCAAAAAATTAAAAGTCACAAACTTGCATAAACACACATCTCATAAAAAATCAAATTAATTTAAAGTAAATATACTTTGCATAGTCATTTGTATGTTTGTGTTCAACTGTTAGCTAGTGGAGCATATTCAATCATTATCCTCACACATATTACATATAGGAAAATCATCTCCATCAGAAGTGTCAAATGCAAATTATTACTGTGCAATTAGTTCTCGAAAAAGAACTCCATCTGTTTCAACTTCATCACTTGATCTACTAGAGGTGTTAGAATCAAAATCATCCTCATCATGATCTCCATAATCACTTAAAACTTCATCACCAATAGAATCAATTTCACTGTACATGTCTGACTTTCAATTTCTTGGTTGTACATTCAACATATATGTTAGAAGAATTTCTATCAAATATCCTTTTCCACATTTTTGCCATAAACTTCTCCAAGGCAGGCTTTTAATATTTGTTCCTTTTCCCCATGTGCCCATACAAAATCATTTGTTTTAATCAGTAGAAGGTTCTCCACTGTTTTAAACTAAATCTTTGGTCAGTGAGCATGCAGGTAAGGTGACTAAACCCTACCTCAACAACACTATTACTGGGTCCTATGTAGAGCACTATTTCCACCAGCATATAAACATCCTTAAATTCCTTCATTCTGTATAAAAGCACATGCTCAGATATCCTTATTTTTGACTCCATTCAAGTAGTACTTAACAATTCTCTTGAATTCTTTCCATTCTGAGCTTATCTTAGTTTTTATCAAAATTGTTAATTTTCAGTGGCTCATAAAAATGCTCTAAAACTAAATACAAATACTAAATTTTTCTTGTTGGTATTATCTAGCTAAAATATACTTTGATAAAGTTCTCAAATGAAGAGAAAATTGATTCAAAACAAGCCTATACACTTGAAATGACTGCAACTCTCAGTTTTATCAGTACAGTGTACATTGTTCATTAGACTGTAGTTGACACAGACAGTAGTGTATTCCCGGTTTTCTTTTTTCTAGTGTCCTGCTATAAGCAAAGTATTCTTAAGATGCCAGGAACCTGGTTTCATTTCCAATTCAAGTTTAAACTTTTTCAAAAGATCGTTACAGTGTGTACCTGAAGTTTCTTCCTTGAGTTCCTGCAAGGCATCCTTTGCTTTTTCTATCATAGGCAATATCTGGCAGCATAAAATGTTTTTCTTTTCAAATTGCATAGACAGAATAGAATATGCATCCAGCACATCTTTGTAAAAGCAACATTTTAGCAGAAACGTCTTTCATCTTTTTTAAGAGTTCATGAAACTTAGCTGATACTACTCTCTCCTTGCAATTGGCAATGGAATTCTCTATTGCTTGAGCAAGAATCACCCAATTACTCAGTAAATGATGATGACAAAACCTTGTCGAAACATTGTACATTTGCTGTTATGTA